TGTGGTGTTCATTTGTATATGAATCTAAAATCAAGGTCTGCTGGTATAAAAAATCACAAATGGACATACTGGAAGGCTGTAAAAGCTTATCGGGAAGTGGATTTTAATAAGCATATAAACTGTTTAAGACGTGTTTTGCCTCAGTGTGCTCAAACACTAGAAGATGTCGGGTTTGAAAGATGGTCAAGAGTACATCAACTTGGAGCAAGATATGGTTTCATGACGTCTAATAGTGCAGAATCAATCAACGCTCTAAGTCGTCATTCCCGGAAATTACCCATTACTATGTTAATGGAGTTTTTTCGAGCCTCTATTCAACAGTAGTACTACAAGAAAAGAAACCATGCAGGTATTATTTCTTTAAATTCGTAACTTATCATATATTTTACTAAGTATTATTTATTTAAATTTACAGGAACATTGGAACATCGTGTTACACCATGGACAGAAAAAAAAAGATAACGAAACGTGTTGTGAAGTCAACGTCATGGAGAGTTGAACCATGTTCAAACACTTTGTTTGAAGTACTGTATAATAACTTAAATGGGCTTGTCGATCTAAATGCAAAGAAATGTAGTTGTATGAAATGGAAAACATCTGGTTATCCGTATGGCCATGTTATAAAAGTTTCTCTTCATCTAAACCAAGATGATTCAAGCGCATACGCTATGGATTGCTACACTACAGAAGTATATCGACAGACTTATGGCGAGATTGTCTACCCTATTCCACATCCTTCTGAGTGGGACATACCATATGACTTACAAACAGTTTTGCCACAAGCCATGGACAGAAGGCTACCTGGCCGACCAAAAAGTCACGATCGTATACCGTCTAAGGGTGAAGAGAAGAATAGATCGACATGTAGTTGGTGCAAGGAAAGTGGTCATACAAGGTTGACATGTGGATCACCAGTGCCATTACAATCATCTTTTCCTCTACCAAAATATGGATCCTCATCAAAATCCAAAGCTCATATGGTGTCAAGCAAAAGGCAATCAAAATCGCAATCATCTTTAAAATCCCAATCACAACCGGCTTCACCTTTTGGGACTGTTAACTTAGGTGATTTTTAAATGCAAACGTTGTATTATGTGGATTTTATATGTGAACTTTTAACATTTTTAGTTAGGCATGTATTAGTAACTTGAGTTTGAAAATTTCTATGATCTATTCATTTGTTATCACTTATTAGGCATTCATTTGACTATCATAACGCGGAAATGACTATCGCAATGCGAAATGAAAATCGCAACGAGGGAATCACAAAGCGAAATGAAAATCGCAACGAGAGAATGAAAATCGCAACGAGAGAATCGCAATGCGAAATGAAAATCGTAATGAGAGAATCGCAATGCGAAATGAAAATCGCAACGAGGGAATCGCAAAGCGAAATGAAAATCGCAACGCGAATTTAGTTTCGCGTTGCGATTTTTAGTTTCGCGTTACGATTTTGTCTTTGCGATTTTCATTTCGCGTTGAGATTTTCATTTCGCATTGCGATAGTCATTTTTTGCCTTCAACATAATGCAGATTGAAATCAACAAAATCAACCATTACATTTCAATCAATTAAACAAGAACAAATAAGAATTATGTTCACATCAATTAAACAAATCAACTTTTACAAATCATCTTTTACAAATCAATTAAACAATCAAAAAATAAGCAATAATTCTTATTTCCTCATCTACTATTGAATCAACTTTTGCAGCCATACATCATTTTCACGCAGCTCACTTCTGAGATTAACCTGCAGAAACCAAACATTTGCTCAAACAACACTTTCTACACATCTAAAACCTACAAACAGTAAATTATTGAATTCTAGGTACTTAACCAAACATTTTCAAACCAAAAGCCTATAAACTTACCAATTGTTTATGGACTTTTTTATAACGCGGATGCAGGTAGGCAGCGTCTCGTATATATCGATCTAGCCATATAATACCGAAACCACAAGCCTACTGCAGCTCTATCTCTATCGGTGGGAGGTAGATACTTTATACTTCCTGTGATCAAACGCTCCAACGCCAAGCATACGAGAGGACCACAATCCCCTCTGGGTCCTTTCGTTTGTTGTGGTGCTATCTCGTTTTCTGCTAACTATAATATTGAGCTTCTTTGGCTTCTTGTTTCCAGAACGAGTCCAATAATTTATCGCATCCAAGAATTTAGCCAAATGAGAGCTCCATCCCTTAATAATATCTCTTAAATCATCCAATGATATGTAATTTATCATGCTGTCATATACTATTGCCTTAAGGGATGGGAGCTAAAGCTCGACGATAAGCCAATGTCTACGTTCCAAAATAGGGATAAACACCTGCAATCATAAGTAATAATTCATTCATTTGCGCACTTATTTATGAATACCTTTAAACTCAATCTAAAATAAATACTAACCTTATCGACCTCCCACCATGCAGGATAAAGTTTAGCTTGTCCATTGCCCAACGCAAATGATTCATCTCGTTGATTCTTCAAGTGAACGGCGTTAAAAGACGTCGGCATAATTGTATATCGTGTATTTCTTTTATTTTCCTTAAGTTTCCTAATTATTAGAAGATGTGACACCCACGCATCGATATGGTGTTTTACAAAAAAGACATATATTAGTAACTTACATAAATTTAAAAAAAATAATCAAATTGAAATATAAGAAAAATATAAGACTTACCCCTCCATCGAAATAGCCATTGTCTTCGACCCCTAATAATACGCCCCACCAAGACCGATCAAGCAACAAATAGATATCATCGTTGAGCTTGTATATGTCAGTGAAACACCCCTGGCTCCGCTCATGTAGATAAAAATCAACTGCGGTCTTAGCCCAAAGGGTGTTATCCAAAATTGTGTCCGGTAGTTGTCTCCTCTCCACTTCAGATATCGGTATGGTACTGGCCGGTAACTCATACGAGAGCCAACTCTCATCCATCATGTCCAGCACGTCAGAGGGTTTCTCAAGAATCTTACATATGACGCCATGTGAATCGGGCTCTTGAATGGTGGGAGGGACCTCTTCAACGATGACAGTGGCCTCTTGAACGGTGGGAGGGGACTCTCGAGGAATGATAGGGGCCTCTTCAACGATAGGAGTGGACTCTTGAGGGATGACAGGCGAGTCGGGCTTCTTCTTGCTGTGTCTTCGCACTATTGGGGTGTACGGAGACTTAATAGCACGTGCACGCCGTCTGATGCGTGAACTCTGTCGTGCAAGAAAAACCTGACGTAAAGCATCCACCTTATCGGGCCGCTAAATAATAAAATACAAAAATCAGTAAATAAACAGACATGATATTTAAACAGTGAAAACAAAGACAAATATGTTTCAAACTTGCATTGAATTCACCCAAGTCATTATTCTATCATAATTCACAAAATGCATCAGATAACAAAGGCAAATATGTTTCAAACTTGCAACACTGTCAACTTAGTATTTGTCTTTGTCTATTGGTTGAAGTAATGCAATTCATTCAAGTTTCAATTTGCAGAAGAATAATAGTTTCTGGAACTTAAAATCGCAACGTGAAAAATGACTATCGCAACGTGAAAAATGACTGTCGCAATGCGTTTTTGGTTTCGCGTTGCGATTTTCATTTCGCGTTGCGATTCTCTCGTTGCGATTTTCATTTCTCTCGTTGCGATAGTCATTTTCGTGTTGCGATTTTCATTTTCATGTTGCGATTTTAAGTTTAGAAACTATTCTTCTTCTGCATTACTTCAACCAAAAGACAAAACAAAGACAAATACTAACTTCACATGGTTAAAGACTAAACAGTTTAGCAGTATTGACAGCAATCGAATGAATTTAATAAGAAATCTAAGTGAAATGGTTAATCTATTATTGAAATTACCAGTAAACTTATCATCAATTTCAATATGAAAAACCTAAAATAATGCAAAAAATTCAAAATAAAAATAATTAAAAAACTAACACTCGGAGGTTGATTTTCCATTTCTGAATGATTGTGAGGGATTTTTGACCGTGAATGGTTTTGAGGGATTTCGCCGGCGATGGGAACGGATTTCGTCGTAGAGAGTGAGAGATGGAGATGGGACTGAATTGTGATTTTAGGTTTTAGGTTATGAGTTGCGATTACGGGATATACTGTGGACGGTTCAGTTTCCGATATATTAAGAAATTCGTGTTTGGAATTTGAAAAAAAAAATACGCGTTAATACGAATGACGCTATGTAAATCGCATTGCGATAGTCAGATTCGCATTGCGATTTACGTATTCGCATTGCGAATTAGGAAAATCGCAACGCGAATTTGGAAAATCGCAACGCGATAGTCAGAATCGCGTTGCGAATCTGGAAACTGATTTGCGATACCGGAGATCGAGTTGCGAATTATCGATCGCATTGCGATTTAGTTGGTCATTTTGGCGAATCCAAAAAAAGTTGGTTAAAATCGTATATTATAAGGCATTTTTGGTCACTGAGGTTATTTTCTCATTTTATAATAAATCAGTCAACAAGTTAGAGTTCAACTCAGACGACCATCACTTTTTAACAGAAAATGACAAATTTGAAATATATGAATAGTCGAGTGTTTTAATAGTCGAGGGACTCAATAAAGCAACACTATATAGTTAGAGAATCATTTTATAACTTTTAATAGTCAAAAGACGTAACAAAATAATTCTTAAAATCGGGGACCATTTATATATTTTATTTAAAAAAATTATAAATAAAATATTTAAAATATATAATAATTTAATTTTTTTAGGAGATATCGTCCATCTCTGATTTGAAAGGGATTTCAAGAGTATAATCCGAGTATAAAGTCTGTGTGTGATGCATGTCATAGTTTGGGAACACAAATCTTAATTTAGCAATTGAATCTGTCTTTCTGTCTCTAACATATAATAAGCGAATGCTGCAAATGGGTTTCAGATTGAAATGGCACGTGGTGCGACGTGGAAGACAATAAAATATGAGGTTTGGGCATTGTAACCTTGAATTGTTTCCGATTGTTTACGAATTCTGTTTTACTTTGGGAAATTTGGATCAAATTCTTTTCAAGAACAAACCACCATCTACCTGTGCATTTTGATTTCAGAGATCTAAAAGCATGGTGTTTTTAGCCAGTTATTTATGATTCAAGCTTGTTGGACGGCCATTTTTGACAGCAGCAGCAAAGAATACGATGCTTCCAACTCACTAATCCGACCTCTGATTTTCTCACGAAGCTTCTCCATTGATTCCTTCATCTCCAAAAGCTCATCCACGTTGAGTTCGTTAGCAGGTTTTCGGTGCTTCAGTTTTTGACGCCTAGCCGTGATCGCCTCTTCGAGCATCTCTCCTTCCTTCATCTCCGCCTGCAGCCGCTTGAGAAGGGCGTTGAGTTGTCGACCGAGCTTTCTAACTTCAGCCGACTGATCAACAACTTGATCCGGAATAGAAACTTTCGGTCTCCCGCCCTGACTTAGAAACCGCTCCGCCACCGTCTCGACGTTCGGATGCCCGAACGAGTAAGGCTTGCCGCCGGGGGAGAAAACCACGATGGCTACTTGAGCGCCGCAAAGGGTGGCGAGCTCGTTCGCTTTCTTGAACAGCCCTGTTCGGCGCTTCGAGAAAGTCACTTGCCTCGAGCTGCTATCCATCACCATTTTCATCTCGATTTTTCGCCTACCCATGGTTTCCTTCTCAGAAATATTTTCAATGCATAAAAATTTGCTCAAGGGGTCACCATTTATAAGGGGTAAATTGAATTGGAAATATTTCTAATTTATTTTGACAATGCTAAATACCAAATTATTTTTCCCGACATGCAAAGAATTTAAACATGTTTTCTAATTTGGGTTAGTCCAATAATTATAGAACTTTACATTGTCTTGTTGGCACCATTTAATTCTCCTTTAGAGGTGTCAAATTTAGTAAGCAATTCAATTTTGAGCTAATCCTCCCCTTCTATATAATATATGTGGGCACACTAGTGATGCCATTTGGTCAGCCACAGCCACAGCCAACGTAATCCTATTTAGGAAACTTGTTCAGCCACAGCCATCTTTCTGTTTTAAAGGCAAATATACCCAACTCTTTTCATACTTATCCCACCCAAATGAAAAATCCCATTTTAAGGAAGATGTATTACCCTTTAAGATAATTGCACATATGTCTCGAAATTATTATTTTCATTTTAAATTGATCGTTAAATTTTAAAATATTCTATATCTATCTTCAAATTATGATCCTCACTTTAAATTAATCCTAAAAGTTTAAAATATTTTATATCAATCTTCAAATTTAAATTATTATAGGAAGAAATGTGGAAGATGGGTTGCAAACTAGTTAAGACGCCAATCAAGTGTGATCATGGGTTATATCATGCACTAGAAGAACCTCTGGTGGGTAGAGGGTCTTATCGAAGGTTGATTGAAAAGTTAATTTATTTGACGCGCAAGATTAGATATAGTCTTTGTATAACTTATGCATAATCCGAAAGAATCACATCTCAAAGCAGTAAAGGAATTTAGTTCAAACATCAAATGAACCCAAACATTACACTGGAAGCATATATGGATCCGGATTATGCATGGTCTTTAGTCAACAAAAAGTTAACATCTGAGTATTGTACAATCCGAGGTAGAAAATATTATTATCTGAAAGTAGGGTGAGCATTCGGTCGAGTCGAGTTAAAAAATGTTAAGTTATTCGAGTTGACAAGTCGTATGTTACAGCTCAAACTTAACTTGAAATTTTCTAGAGTCAAGTCGAGTTATTCGAGTTTCTATACTAATTTTATTATAATTATTTATAATATTATAGGAAGGATTTGTTTCAATTTTTTGACTTTCTATAACCATATAAGATATATATATATATATAATATTCTTTTTACATTATAATATTATTTAATATATAAATAATCATAATATTATATTTCAAAGAAAGTATTTTGAGGATAAACTATTGATGAGAGTATAAACGAGTCAAGAAATTGATAGGAAGAAAGAATTTACAAACAATATTAGTCAAAGATCAAATTGAGTAAAATACAAATTTAAGAGATTAAATAAGAAAGAAAGAGAGTACATTTTCAGTAAAAAAAAGTAGAAATTGAACTTACATAGGTATTGTCGACACTAGTTTTTCGTCCTATTATCTTTATTATTATTATTATTACTATTAATATTATTATTAATATATTTTATTTTTTGGCAGGCCATATTACCACCCAATTGGGGTCCTAATTTACAAGTCGGATCCAAATACAAGCAACCACCCAGGTCAGTTCAAGCCTAAAGGTAGCCCAACCCCGATTTAACCCGACTTAAGATTTGTGTGGGGCCCAAACCCGCTAGGATTTCTTCATCTCATCTTCAGCAGCATCGTCATCCCTCAACCATTGGATCTGGATTGATCCAATGGTCCAGATCAACAAACAGTAAGGGTTTTACCCTAATCCCTCTACAACCGTCGTCGCTCACCAACCACAACAGATCTGCCACCGCCAGATTCATTCACTCCTCGGCCACCGCTGCTACAGCCAATCCGAGACCCTGCAAGTGTCAGAAAACTCAAAACATTTCAACAAGCAACCATCAACCGAAGTCCACACGCAAAAGCCTCTATTTTGTAAGCATTTGATAACAAAAAAAAAGAAAAAAGAAAAACATACATGAAAATTCGGGTTATATAAACCCCGAGTCAAAAATATAAAAAGGGTAGGTTCCTCCAATTGGTTTTTTTTAAAAAGGCAATAAAATCATAGCATTCAAGGTTTTCTTCTTCTTCTTCGATATTATTTTTCGGTGTTCGAAATAAAAGGATTTTTTTTAAAAACGTAGCTTTTTCGAAAAAAAACAAAAACCCTTTTTTTGTTTTTCATCATTCAAAAACAAGCAAAAAAATAGGGCTTTGCAAGTAAAAAAAATAATAAAATCGGGAGTGTAGAGAAAAGAGATTTACCTGGGTTGAAGGGAGCCTTTGCGGTGGCCGGAGGTCCTAGAAATGAACAGTCGGGGCTTGATTTGGGGTTTGTTTAGGGTCATTTAGGTGTCTTTAGGCTATGAGAAGGGCCTAGGGTTGTAGATCTAGATGAGGGGATTGTTTTGGGTGAGTTTGGGAGGTCCAACCATCGTGTGCAGCGGCCGGGAGCAAGGTTAGTCGACCAGCAGTGGGTCGGCCGAGGATTTTGAGAGAAAATAAAACTTCTTTTTTTATAATTTGGTTCAAATGAAAAAAAAAATATTTAGTTGTATATATAGGTAAAGTTTCTGGCGAAATTGCGTTTAGGTCCCCCGAACTTTGTCACATTTTTGCAAAAAGGACATTGGGGGTACCATTTTTGTTATTTTCCTAATTTATATTCATTGTTTACAATTTTTGATTTAATTGCAGTGTAGTCCCCCTTGTTTAGCCGTGTTTTTGCATGTTAGTACCTGTAGGGATTGTTTTTGTGATTTACCCTTTTTCATGCCCGATATTTATTTTTAGGGATATTCTCTGTATAGCCCCCTGTATTTTTGCATGTTTATATTTCAAACCGGAATATATGTTTTTATTTATTTTACTTCGGCCATGTAATTTTAATTTATTTTAATTTAGCCCCATGTTTTATTTATTTTTATTTTAGCACTTAATATTGTAAATGTTCATTTTAGTCCCTTGTATATTATATTTTATTTTAATTTTGGCAAATTAATTTATTTTAGTCCTAATTAATTTTTTATGATAGCCTCATAAGCGTCCCTTGACTCGATTCGAAATAAATTGACTAAGGGCAATATTCGATCATTTTAATATTGTCGTAAAGTGATTGTCTTAACGTATAAGAAAGTTACTTTCGATAATTTTAAAATGAAAGTTTATCCCATCTAGTGACACAAATTAAATCGAAATCATTTTTAAAATTCAAGGATTGAGAAAAAGACAATGTTCTTTTAATTAAATTCATCGAGAAAAGATTGTTAGACGAATCTAATGTCTCGTCTCGAGATATTTAAATAATCGAACATCCTTATTCTAATTAAATATATGCAAAGTAAATAAGTAATTCCTTGTTTGTTATGTCTTTTATTTGTTTTATTTTTGCATGTATTTCCCTATAGATTTCTAAAACAATAACATTCGACTCGACATTGAGAATAGTAATATCTTTTCGCTTTGGTCCGAGTAATAAATGACTGCTTTAAGGTATGAGTGATCATTTATTCTCGATTGGAAATCATTAGATATTATCGTTTCCATTCGAATCGCTATGTAATTTTAAGACGAAGTAGTAATACCTCTTTATTTCAATTGGGTAATAAATGATTGTTTTAATGCACAAAAGATTATTATTCTCGATCGGAAATAATTAGATATTATCGTTTTCACTCTTAAAATTATTTTGGGTGTTATTATTTTAAAATTAATAATGAAATTTAGAATGGAATTTCAATATTTCTTTATTTCTATTGGAGTAAGAATCAATTGCTTTGAGGTAGGAGAGATTGATTCTTCTCGATAGGAAATAATTAAATATTATTATGTTTCGTCCAAAAATTCAAAGAACGTAATTTTAGGGGATCTTAAATTAAATTAGACTCGAACTTGTAAATTTAATTGTAAAGACAATTAATTAATTGACTATGTACCGATTTAGGGCGTTGTGGGCATGCTAATCCTTCCCCACACACATAACCGACTCCCGAATTTGAATTTTGGTAACACATACCGCAAGTTTTTTTGTTTTAATTAAAATTAATATTTTATTAAAATGGAAAATACGTTTTTGGGTGCCCAATCACACCCTAATCAAATATTGGTGGTGACTCCTCGAACCACGTTTTATCATTAATCGGTCAATCAAAGAATTATTTCGAAACAAGACCCCCTTTTCCCCCTCCAGGAAAAAAACCATTTCGACAAGAATTCTATTGTGATATATGAGCATGTGATTCAAATTTGGTAAAAAAAAACTTAAAATAAATGATGAATTGATTAAATAAGGAAATTATGAAAATTTGAAGGATTAAATTGAAATATAAAAAATTATTAAAAAGAGGAATTGAGAGTACATATGTATTCTATGATGATTTAGGAGCTTGTGGTTCAAATTTGGTAAAAATGGACTTAAAATGAAAGAGGAATTGAAATAATAATGAAATCAGAGACTAAATTGTAAAAAAATACTTGGTCAGATTTTCAGTTTTTCGAGTAACTCGAACTTTCAAAATTTCAATTCGACTTGAACTCGAAAAGTAAATTGATAATTTGAGTCGACTTGCATAATTCAAAAAACTCGACTCAAATAACTCGGAATTAAAAAAGATCAATTTTTCAAGTCTAGTCGAGTTTTGCTCACCTCTACCTGAAAGAGTATGAAACATATGCAGCAACAAGATCAATTGCTAAATCAGAATTTAGTTGATGACATTGGGAGTATGTGAGTTACTTTGGGTAAATTTAATCCTAAACGACTTAAGAATAAAGTGAGAGAGACCTATGAGGTTTTGTTTTGATAATAAATCAACTATTAATAGTGTTCATAATCTTGTTCAGCATGGTCTAACAAAGCATATTGAAATTGGTATGCATTTAATTAAGTAAAAATTAGACATTGATATAATTTTTACTCCATTCATTTTTATCAATATCAGCTGACATATGTGCTCACGAAAGGGTTAACAAGCAATGCTTTTCAATAATTTTTTAATTAATTTAAGGTGATTACAGATGATAGTATCTATTCTGAAGACTCTCAACCATTTGACAATG